ATTGATTGATAATAATTAAGAGCAATAGGTGACTGGCATTTAAGAACAAGAATAATAAATGAGGAATTAACTCCTTTCTTCAAATATCTGGAAAGAATTTCTAAGAATGTCACCAAATGTTATTACAATGCTTGAAAATGAAAACATTTTCCTTAGAAGCACAAAAGATCTAAATTCTTAAAAAATTTTATTCTGTCATGGTTCTATACAAGGTTGGCTCACGGCACTTATCGTGGTTTCAACTTCCTTTGATAATGGCGGAGCTACGCCTGATCATGTCACTGTCAGAAATTGGTTCTTGTGGCATTTCAGGTTGAGTGGACATCGCTGATTGACGAAGATTTGCAGTTAATTTTCTCCCCTTTTGCCTCTGCCAGCCGCCTTTCAGGATCCCTCCCTCTTCTGCAAATTAGCCTAGGTTCAGGCTCACTATTTTCGAACTCAACCAGCAGTCCCCTTGCTTCACGTTCAGATACAACCACAAAGTTTCCAATGATGGGTCAAACCCTACGACTGCTTGATTGGGTGGTGTTTTTCTAGTTTTTCGGGTAAGGCATTCCAAGAGGCTGTCGATGGTATATTCCACCGTTGCTTCACAAGAACCACCTCCCAAGGCCACCCCATTTCCTTTATTGCTAAGAAATCCAGACTCGACATTGTTCAAACAAAGTATTGGCTTATGCATCTCAATCAAGTCCCTTAACTCCTCATTTAGGCCCGAATTTCCCAAAATTACTGTCAAACAGGCTTCAAGCTAGGATGGGGTATCTTTATCTCGCCTATTTCTGTTCATTTGGGAAAGACTATAACAAGGGGCCTTTTTGGGAGGGGAAAGGCTTTTGTAAAGCCTGTTCATCAGAATGGGATTGCATTGTAGCCCATATATTTTTCGCATCCTTTTGAATTTTTAAATTTAAAGTTGCCCGCCCGATAGCCAAGTTAGCACTTGGTGTCTTGAGTAACAGGCCCCCCCTCATTTTGCCCCCTTGAACGACGGTGCTGGCAATATGCATGATTGAGTGGCAGGTATTACTGGTAGATGCATCAACGATGTCTTCATGAAGGTTAGGTGTCTGGTTCTCTATAGAAAGTCTCAACACAACCCAACACCCATTGATGGATGCTTCTTACCAACTAGGAATGCACTGCCCTTCCTCCAATATGACAAGCACTTTGGCTATATCGAACGTTTACAAATATACAACTTTACTACCCACTTTGGCAACCCTTCCCCATAGACGACCAATCCTGTTGAAGGTGTTCTCACACTAAACGTGAAAAGGAAGATTTTCAGTTGAAATCCAAGTAGGCTAAGTCCTTGTTCCACAACCGTAGCATAAGGGGTAATAGAGTTAAACCAAATAGTGAAAACATCAGGGAAACTTTCAAGAGCAACTTTCATCTCTTTCGCATCATTAAAGATGATGAGTGCTTTAAGGGGGGCAAACAGCAACAGGGAATGCCCTATCGAATGAGGCGAGATTGGATCAATCTAAGGGAAGAGGTTTCCCTCATGCAAGTGACCACACTTCTTTGGACCCATTCGATATCACTGTCCACAATATCCACAGTGAGGTTAATGGAGTCCCTTGATTTTTCAGTCAAAGTCCCACTCTATTTGGAGTTGCTCTGTTGGTGACCATAAAGAAGAGCATCTTTGAAAGTTTTCCTAACTTGCTTCCCTTCCACTACCTTGGAGTGACTACTCTACTTACCAGGCTTAGCTGAGATAGCCCAGTTAGTAATAATCCTCTTACCCTCTATAATCTTGTCATTACCTTTGAGAATTATGGTCCTCATTTCCTCAGTAGTTGTATATCCAACAAAAGCAAAGGTTGGTCGATCTGGTGTTCCTTGGGAGGGGCAAGGTTTCCGTAAGAAAACATCCACAACCACTCTAAATTCATTGAAAAGCTCAGTTAACTGACCCCAAGTCATCCTAGGGTTTAAATTACCCACGTAAATGGAGAAAACTTTCTTCTTCTACTGTTTAAAATGTACACCATGTTTTAGTCCTTGAAACCCTACATCCGCTTACTACGAGTAACCGTCGCCGGCCATCCTCTTGCCATGCTATATGTTTTGAGCCAACAAGCAATTAACAGTTTCAATACTTGTAGTGTAATAGATGAAATTTATGACATCAAATTTTAATTGAATATGTTGATATGTTGAAATTGCTAATTTTTAGGCCTTACACTATATTTAATTCCTTAAACTGATTATGTATACATATATTAATCTATGTATTGCATTTGTGTCAGTGACTTGGTTAATTAAAAATATCAATTCAATGATAGTGATATTCATGTTCCCAGCTTGATTAGTCAATATAAGATATATAATACTAATTAATATTGATATTATGCAATTCACAACTAATCATAATAAAGTGCGAAAACTGTCAGCAAATTGCTAATATTTAGACCTTACAATATATTTAATTCCTTCAACTGATTACATATACATATATTAATCTATGTATTGGTAATTAATTGAAGAGCGCTACAAGATGCAGTTTTATACCTAATGAGAACTTGAGCTAGCTCTAAGTGGTATAGTTGAATCTATGGCCACTCCCGAGGATGGTAAGAGCACTCGGCGTAGAAGTTGTGATGAGAAAGGTAATATCGGTAAGGACACAGCATGAGTT